CTTTGTCTGTTTTTCCTTTCTCTTTGGGGTTGCTGTAGGGTGATATAGTAGTAGCTTTTGTCTGACCTGTTTGTTTCAGGAGGAGACAGTTGCAGAACTAAGAACTGTTGAGAGTGAAGCTGCATCTTATCTGGACCAGATTTCTAGGTAGGGCCACTTGAGCTTGGCCCAGGAATTGGGGGTTGGTGAGGTGTCAAGGGTCTCCTGCAGCTTCCTCCTCTTCTCTCTCCTTCCAGATATTATATTACAAGAGCCAAATTGGTTTCTAAAATAGCTAAATATCCCCATGTGGTAAGTAAGGATTTTGTGGCCTGAGGGTGGCGGTGGCAGGGTAGGGAGAAGTAACCATTACTATAAGAAAGGAACTGTGGTCAGTTGGGCCCTGGGGATTAGCTTTTTCCTTTGTTCTTTCTTACAGGAGGACTATCGTCGCACCGTGACAGAGATTGATGAGAAAGAATATATCAGCCTTCGGCTCATTATATCAGAGCTGAGGAATCAATATGTGAGTAACCATGGTCCTTGGCCATAGTTGCCCTGGCTTCTCTTAGCTCTGTTGATAATTTTCTTGAAACTCTCTAAGGGTTGAGATGAGGAACCCAGTTTAAATGAGTAAAACAAATACTATTTATCAAATGAGTGTTGAAAACCATGAAATCGTTGTGGGTGCCTAGCTGAGTTTCTGCTCTGCCTGAATGGCATGATATGTAATAACAATGTAAAGGTTAAGGTGGAAGTGTCAGTGTCAGACAGACTTGGGTTTGAAACCTGGCTTTACCTGTAATGTGTGACCTTGAGCACATCATTCAAGCTTAAACTTCGGTTTTTTTCTATTTCTTTCTAAATGGGACTTTGAATACAGTACCACACAAAAATGGTTTTTTAAAAGTAACTGGCAAGGGTGGCACTTGTGGCTCAGTGGGTAGGGTGCCGGCCCCATATACCAAGGGTGGTGGATTCGAACCTGGCCCCGGCCAAACTGCAACAAAAAATAGCCAGGGGTTGTGGCGGGCACCTGTAGTTCGAGCTACTCGGGAGGCTGAGACTAGAGAATCGCCTAAGCCCAGGAGTTGGAGGTGCCACAGCATTCCATTGAGGGTGATAAAGTGAGACTCTGTCTTTAAAAAAATAATAATAAGTGGCAGGCTGAGCATGGTGGCTTACACCTATAATCTTAGCACTCTGGGAGGCCCAGGTGGGTAGATTGCTTAAGCTCAGAAATCCGAAACCAGCCTGAGCAAGAGCAAGATGAGACCCCATCTCTACTAAAAATAGAAAAACTAGCCAGGCATTGTGGCGGGTGCCTATAGTCCCAGGTACTCAAGAGGCTAAGGCTAGAAGATTCCTGGAACCCAGGAATCTGAGGTTGCTGTGAGCTATGATGCCATGGCACTCTACCCAGGGTGACTGAGTGAGACTTTGTCTCAAAAAATAAATAAAAATAAGGAACATAATATATTAAAGGACTTAGTGCAGTTCCCAGTTTGTTACATGCTCAATACATGTCATTTGTTATTAAACACACGGGACCTTGGAAATACCTAGTTGTGTTCAGTTGTGCAAGAGAAGAGCAACCACCCTGAATGGAGCTTCAATGAGAGAGTAGGATTACACTAAGTCCTCACTCCAGTCAGTTATTCATGTTCTTGGACACTGCAAGAAATGAAATAGAAAAAAGGGGTGTATTTTTCTTTTTTTTTTTTTTTAATTGTTGGGGATTCATTGAGGGTACAAGATGTGTCACACACTGAGACCCCATCCCCCTCCCTCCTTCCCTCTCTCTGCTCTTCCTTTTTCATCAACATTATAATCAAAACATTGAACAAAAATGGCTCGGCGCCTGTGGCTCAAGCGGCTAAGGCACCAGCTACATAAACCTGAGCTGGCAGGTTCGAATCCAGCCTGTGCCCGCCAAACAACAATGACGGCTGCAACCAAAAAATAGCCAGGCGTTGTGGGAGGCGCCTGTGGTCCCAGCTACTTTGGAGGCAGAGGCAAGAGAATCACTTGAGCCCAGGAGTTGGGGGTTGCTGTGAGCTGTGATGCCATGGCACTTTACCTGGGGCAACAGCTTGAGGCTCTGTCTCAAAAAAAAAAAAAAAAAAGAAAACATTGAACAAAAATAACTATTTGAAACCACATTATTCAAGTACCTGCGTTATGTCATTTTGCTCAAAGTCAAAGTTTCCAGGAACCTATTTGTGACACTAAGGAGTTATTGCACAGGAATGATTGCTTGAGGATTTGTTGTATGTGGAAGGTCTTGTTTTCTTGGTGCGGTACAGGTTGAAGAGATGTGTGATTCCTTGTTCTCTCTTCTCCTAGGTCACTCTACATGACATGATCCTGAAAAATATTGAGAAGATCAAACGGCCCCGGAGCAGCAATGCAGAGACACTGTACTGAGGCCAGGGCCAGAGCCAGGGGACTCTGTGAGTCTGGCTCAAGACCGACATTGCCTTGGTTTGTTACATGACTATCGTGATGGGGAAACTGGCTGGAAATAGTAATCACACCTCTCTGTTTTTAGTTAGAGTCTAATGAAACTCTCATCTAGTTCTGTGATGTGTTTACCTCTTTTTTCAGGCCTCAGGAACTCTTCTATTTCCTTCCCTAATACCCTACACCCAACCTGTCCTAATTTCTGGAGAACTCCAGGTTTGTGTGTGCAGGATGTTGGCACAAGAATACTTGTATTTTCTCTCTCCTCCTCTCTCCCTCCTGTGTCTTGGGCTTTGTGCTTTCTTCATTTTGATGATTAGTTGATCAGAAGCTGAGGGAACTGGAAGGAAAGTGCTAGGTGTTTTTTAGGAACTGGGGTGACACAGGGACCAGCTTCTCTTTTCCTCACATCAGGTTAGTGTCTCTTGCCTCTGGGACATTGAATCCTCCCTGCCACAGTTGCCCTGGTGATGATTAGGGTTTCCCATCTACTTACATCCCACCTTGAACTTGATCATGACAAGGAACACCTTAGGCCTTCAGCTTAATCCCTATTTCCTTCAGATGTTTTTATAATGGGGGTTTTCACAGATATGTGTGTGCATATATATACCTATACAGACGTGCACACATGCTCCTTACCCAACATACCTTCTCCCCTCCATGATATGGTCCCTGTCACACATACCTTTCAGGAGGTGATAGTTAATTTTAAATGTCATCCACCCAGACAAAAGTCTTGTTCCTGTCCTCCCTCCTGATGGTGAAGCTTTTTGGTGCCCAGGGGGAGTTGGAGGACAACCAAGAGGTGAAAAGCAGAGGGATTGGGGAAGGCCTCTTTGTGACTAGGGCCCTTTTTTGCCATTATTGAAAAGGCTTCTGTGACTCCTGGTTGCCTTTTCCCAGGCCAGTTGTAAATCGGGGTGGGAGTGTCTACAACTGTGAGGTCCAGATGCTGCTGCTCCTGTTGGGCTTTCCCTTTGGGAAATTTTTCTCTTATTTATAGTATTGTGCTTCCAGGGAAAGCAATCATTTGTGTGTATATTTACACATATACACACACATATACACATTGTGTATGTGGAAATATGCTGGGCAAAAACCATAGAAGAGTTGCCTCCTATCTCTTGAATCTTCCAGAGAGATCACTTATTGTTACAGCTTTCGTGTTAACCCTCATTGGCCCCCAGCTTTTTTTTCTACCAGTGCTGGAGAGTCAGCATCTGCAGTCAGCCTGCCAGTGACTCTCACTGTCTGTTTCTGACTTTTATTCTTCCCGGCTCTGTCTTCCAATTCCCAATCATATTTCCATCTGGGATGCATCATTTTTACTCCCAATATTCTGTAGAGAAGGAGTCAGGATGCTGTCTTCCCATGAATAGTACTCAGTAACAAACCAATTGCATTTTAGTTGGGCAGTGCCCCTACCCACCCTTCAGATCCCTTTCAGCTAAAACCCTTTCCTTCCCCCACCATGTGTTTCTCAGTTTCCCTTTTTGTTTGTTGGATTGTTCCGCTGCCTTTCCTCACCCTACTACCCTTGGATCGTAATGTAAAATTCTTTTACCATGTCAAGAAATTATTAAAAATACAGGTACTTTGACCTCTTTTTAAAGCCGCAGACCCTGGTGCTATGCTCTGGTGACTAGGGACATACTCAAACTCATGTGTGTACACATTTGGACACCCACCTCCACAGACATATCTAGCTACCCTATTTCATGTCTGTGTACCAGTAAATTTACCTCTTTTCTCTGGGATAGTGGAAACACTAATGCTTCTGCCTATCAAACAACAGTGGGTTTTTGATTTCTGCTCAGTCTGAATTATGTCAAAGTTAGCCCTCCCAAACCTAAGCTGCCTCATCTCCCTACTTTAAAAGACCCTAGTTATACCCATGAATGCCAGTAGAGGCTGCTATAGTTCCACATAAACTAGGGAATGACCTAATTTAAGGCGTACCCTACCCAGTAATTTTCTTTATCTTATACTAATTCTTCTCTCTGAAAAATGTCCTAAATTTCTTGAGGAGACTCCTGGTCTTAGTTTCAAATTATTTTGAGGGTTGGCTAGGAACCTATGTTCCTCTAAATAAAAGTTTCTCCCCTTCCACTTGCATGTAACCTTTTGGTTTCCAATAATCACCCCCATTGTCTCTGCAAAAAGTTTTAAGGTCTTAAACAATGGAGGAAACTTCTGCTTTGTTCTGTTTCAGAGATGAGTATCCCAAACCAGCACTTTCTGAATGCCTGCCCGTGTCAGACCAGATGTGCATGATCACGTTTAATCTTTGTGAATCCATAGGGTAGTTTTTTTGTTTGTTTGTTTGTTTTTTGAGGCAGAGTCTCAATTATGTTGCAGCCCTCAGTAGAGTGCTGTGGCATCACAGCTCACAGCAACCTCAAACTTTTAGGCTTAAGCAATTCTCTTAATCACTTCAAGTAGCTGGGACTACAGGCACTTGCCACAACCCCTGGCTATTTGTTGCAGTTGTCATTGTTTTTTAGCTGGCCTGGGCCGGATTTGAACCTGCCAGCCTCAGTGCATGTGGCCAGCGCCTGTAACCTCTGTGCTAAGGGTGCTGAGCATCTGTAGGGTAGTTTTATCTATTCTTTATAGGACGGACTAATCATTACTATTTCCCATAAGATCACATAGCTTAGGGATCTCCATTGGTATACAAATCTGTTTGCTAAGCCCTGGACTACTTTCTCATGGCCTAGATAACAAAAAGCCTGAGACTCAATCAAGTTCTTGGTATTAGGCTATAGGCAAGATTCAGTGCTCAATGCTGAACTTTGCAGAGGATCCTGGAACTGTTAGGGTGCAGTGCTTGCATGTAGGACTTGATTGGGATCTGAGATTTTCATTCTTAGACCTTTTCTGGGTGCAATGTGGGGTTCAGTATTGTTAATCCAGATGCACTCATGGGTTTAAATGATGGAAATCAGTAGCTGGTACTGAAGGCTACTAGTAAATTTGAGTGCAAAGAAGAGGCCGTGCATGAGGAAGTAATACCTTCAGCCAAACCACAGGACAGAAAATTGGAACAGAATTATATAAATCAAGGTCAGAAGTTGCCTTTCCAACCCACAGGGTGGAGTTTGCTCCATTCCTATTCATCCTAGTGAATATAAACCCTGACCTGAAGGAGTGGCTGGTAGGACTCTGATTTCAGCTCTCAGCATCCACCATGAATCTCAAGATAGTCCTGATGTTCCTGGCACTGTCCCTCATTACCATCTTTGCTCTGGTCGGTGTCTTGCTGACCAGCCAAGGTGGTTCCAGCCAGCCTCGCCACTGCCCCTCTGTATCCCACAGGGCCCAGCCCTGGACACATCCTGGCCAGAGCCAGCTATTTGCAGACCTGAGCCGAGAGGAGCTGACGGCTGTGATGAGCTTTCTGACCCAGCAGCTCGGGCCAGGGCTGGTGGATGCAGCCCAGGCCCAACCCTCGGACAATTGTGTCTTCTCGGTGGAGCTGCAGCTGCCCCTGAAGGCAGCAGCCCTGGCCCACCTGGACAGGGGGAGCCCCCCACCTGCCCGGGAGGCACTGGCCATCGTCTTCTTTGGTGGACAACCCCAGCCCAACGTGACTGAGCTGGTGGTGGGACCACTGCCTCGCCCCTCCTACATGCGGGATGTGACTGTGGAGCGTCATGGAGGCCCCTTGCCCTATCACCGACGTCCCATGCTAAGAACTGAGTCTGCTCAAATGTGGAAGCATTTGAAAGAGGTGGAGCTACCCAAGGCACCCATCTTCCTGGCTTCTGTCTTCAATTACAGCGGCTCTACTTTGGTACCTCTGCATGCCACCCCTCGTGGCTTGCACCCAGAGGACCGAGCTACCTGGATAGCTCTCTACCATAACATCTCAGGTGTTGGTATTTTCCTTCACCCTGTGGGGCTGGAGCTACTGCTGGACCACAACGCCCTGGACCCTGTCCGCTGGGTTGTCCGAAAGGTCTTCTATCTTGGGCACTACTATGCAGACTTGGCCCAGTTGGAATGGGAGTTTAAGGCCGGCCGGCTGCAAGTGGTTAGAGTCCCTCTACCCACACCAAATGAGGCTTCATCGCTAAGGTCCCGGGTCCCTCCAGGTCCTCTTCCCCCTCTCCAGTTCTCACCTCAGGGTTCCCAGTACAGTGTACAAGGGAACCTGGTGGTGTCCTCACTCTGGATGTTTACTTTTGGCCATGGTGTATTCAGTGGCTTGAGGATCTTTGATATTCAGTTTAAGGGAGAGCGAGTGGCCTATGAAGTCAGTGTCCAGGAGTGTCTGTCTGTCTATGGTGCTGATTCACCTAAGACAATGGTAACTCGCTATTTGGATAGTACCTATGGGCTTGGCCGTTACAGCCAAGGCTTGGTGAGGGGAGTGGACTGCCCCTATCAAGCCACAATGGTGGACATCAATATATTAGTGGGCAAAGGGGCAGTCCAACTGCTCCCAGGGGCTGTGTGTATATTTGAGGAGGCCAGGGGACTACCCCTTCGAAGACACTACAATTATATTGGGAGTCATTTCTATGGGGGGTTGGCCAGCTCAGCCCTTGTGGTCAGGTCTGTGTCATCTGTGGGTAACTATGACTACATTTGGGACTTTGTGTTGCACCCAAATGGGGCACTTGAAGGACGGGTTCATGCCACAGGCTATGTTAACACAGCTTTCCTGAGCGGGGGCGAGGACGGCCTCCTCTTTGGGAACCGTGTGGGAGAGCATGTGCTGGGGGCAGTGCACACACACGCCTTCCACTTTAAGCTGGACCTGGATGTGGCAGGTGAGTGCTGAGGGGTAATGGTGGAGGATTGGGGGTGTGTGGAGGGAAGGAATCCCCCAGATCAAGCTGCAATTTCTGAAAGAGGCAAGAGCAGGGGGTGCCAGCAACAGAATAGGGACAATTGGAGTATATTCAACCGTAGTCAGCCTGACACAAGGTTGGCTGGGTGTCTGGCAAAAGATGGAACAGGCTCCCCCTCTTTCCCCAATCCCCTATTCCCTTGTATAATTGTGAAACTAGTTTAAATGTTATGGCTGTGTTTGACTGCCATTGCCTTGAGTGACACTGAGTGGGGGAATTGGCCCTATCTGAGGTTGGCAGGGGCTGGAGTTGGGACACTTTGCTTCTTCCTAATTCTAAGTGGGGATGAAAAGGGCAGGGGCCGAGCAGAGGTTGGATGGAGTCTGTCTGATGAGTTTTCAGGATAGGGGTCATCTGAAGTCTTGGGAAGAGGGGGATACTATAGCTGGGAGTGGCCCCACAGGACAGTGCTACTCTACTCTTGGGAGGGCCATCCCATTCCTGTCAACACAGTGGACTCAGCAACAACAGCAAGTACACAATAGACTGGCTGCCGGCATAGGAAAAGGGATTTACCAAGTAGGGCTCGTAGGGCTCAAAGCACAGAGAGCACTTGCTGCTCCTGGCATTCTGTTGAGGACAGAAAGTATAATGCAATTAACTAAGCATATTGTAAAACATTTTCTCGTCCTCGAGCATGAAGACTATCGTGCGCATACACATGCATACACATGCACTTGCTTTTGCAGTGGGGGTGTAGGAAAGGCAGAACTAAGAAACGAACATGATTGAAATGATCATATTTAGATTACTCTTTGACATGTTTGGATTATGACTTTGAGGTTTCTCTTCAGCATTTTTGGCATTACAGACTTTGTCTTGGGAAGTAACATTAACATTTATTGGATAAAAAAAGACATTTATTGGATCCCTAAAGTGTGCAGCCCTAGTGGTGAGGGAGGCAGTGTCAGACAAGGGCCAGTGCACAAGAATGCGATCTGCAGGGGCACTGGCTTCAACAGAGTTGAGTGCCTCCTGTGCCAGGTGCTTCCTTTAGGCTTTCCCGTTTAAAGGGAGCAACAGTTTGGACCTGCGAGAAGAAAGTGTATGACCACATGAATGATGCAGCAGAATCCCAAAAAGCTTCCAGAAAATTTAGAGAGATGAATCTGCTCACTTCTGGAAATGATTGAAAGTACTCCCCACTTTATTGAGATAGGAAAGCCTCGGAACTGGGACGAGTATGCAGGGAACCATAGAAAGGGATTGGATTTTACCATTAGCTTCTCCAACATAAACATCACTATCCCTTTCCCAGTTACAGGATTATCACTAGTCAGGTGCATGTGCTCCCTGAGCACAGCCATAGAACAGTGTGTGGATTCAGAAATTACTCCCAGTGTAGGGACTTAGAAAGTAGGAATCAGAGAAGCAAATTTGGTCCAGAGTTTTAATTCAGTAGACCAAAGCTAACAACTTTCTGCAACAATAGCAATGTTTTATATCTGTTCTGTGACTATAAATAATAGCCACTAGCCATGTGTAGCCCACTGGGCACTTTAAATGTGGCTGGTGTGACTGAGGAACTGAATTTTCAATTGAGATGTAAGTAGGCAATGTGACTAGTGGTTACCCTATCAGGGAGGGCAAGTTAAGAGAAGACGCTCACCCAGACCATCTGGCTACCAGTACAGCACTCTTGCTTTCTGCTGCCTTTGTCAGTCCAGCGCCGTGGGCATCATGGGGAAGAGAGGCGTGTCTGAATAGCGTTGCCTTGTGTGGAACTCTTCTCCCTTCCCTCACCCTGGCAGGGCTGAAAAACTGGGTGGTAGCTGAAGATGTGGTGTTTAAACCTGTGGCAGCCCCCTGGAGCCTGGAGCACCAGCTACAGCGCCCACAGCTGACTCGGCGGGTTCTGGAAAGGGAAGACCTGGCAGCTTTTTCCTTGGGAAGCCCCCTTCCCCGCTACCTTTACCTGGCTAGCAACCAGACCAATGCCTGGGGTCACCAGCGCGGGTACCGGATCCAGATCCACAGCCCCATCGGCATACACATGCCCTTGGAAAGCAACATGGAGAGGGCCCTCAGCTGGGGGAGGTGAGGAGGGCACTGGGCAGTGGGTGGAAGGGAAGGATTGGCTCTCTCCCTCCCCCCAGCCCTGGAGACCCCATGGCTTACCTAATTTGTACCTCCCCTCAGATCCCAGTAGATAGGGGGTGGGAAATGGTCTCACAAAGAATCTGATTCAAAGAACTTCTGGGCCAGTAAAGGCCCTTGACATTTTCTGACACCACCTTCCTACAACAATTTCTGGTCAGATACCAGCTTGCAGTAACCCAGAGGAAGGAGAAGGAGTCACACAGCAGCAGCATCTATAACCAGAATGACATCTGGAGACCCACTGTGGCCTTTGCTGACTTCATCAACAATGAAACCCTCTTAGGCGAGGTTGGTAGTCCTAGGGGACAGAAGAGAGGGGCTCCTCTATGCCTGGGATCTTGGCTGTCCAGCCCCTAGCCATAGGTTGGAGGGAGTGGTGGATTTCCATTTCTCAGATGCAGGGGCCAAGAAGTTTTCTGATGACCAACACAGATCACCCCTCCTGGGGTAAGATTTAGTTGTGGGAAGGACACTGACCTGCTTGTGTAAGCATGAAGCTGGGCAGAGGCAAAAGCCAGGCCGAGGCTGGAGGTGGGAGATTATAGCTAAGGGTGGTTCTTTGGGTCTTGCTTCCCTAGTCCTCCAGCTCCTCCTTCTTCCTGCAGGATCTGGTGGCTTGGGTTACAGCCAGCTTCCTGCACATTCCCCATGCTGAAGACGTCCCCAACACAGTGACATTGGGGAACAGAGTTGGCTTCTTGCTCCAACCCTATAACTTCTTTGATGAGGACCCTTCCATCTTTTCCCCTGGCAGTGTTTACTTTGAGAGGGGCCAAGATGCTGGACTCTGCAGCATCAACCCTGTGGCCTGCCTGCCTCAACTGGCAGCCTGTGTTCCGGACTTGCCCCCTTTCTCTTATCAAGGCTTCTAACCCTCTAACCCTCTAACCCTCCCCGGGTGGGGATTGGAGGGGGTTAGACATGTTATCTTTCTCTCTGTTTTCACTTTTTGTTCCCTATGTTTTGTATTTTTTGAGACAGGGTCTTGCTCTGTCACCCAGGCTAGAGTGCAGTGGCATCATAACTCATTACAGCCTCAATTCCTGGGCTCAGCAATCCTCCCACCCCAGCCTCCCAAGTAGCTGGGACCATAGACACCTGTCACACACTGGGCTAATTTTCTTAATTTTTGTACAGTTGGGGGTCTCACTATGTTGCTCAGGGTGATCTTGAACTCCTGGGCTCAAACGGTCCTCTTGTCTCAGCCTTTCAGTCTCACAAAGAGGTGGGCCTGTTTGCTGTGTTTTTATCACATCTACACCCCAGACTCCCACCCTTTCAACATTTCTTAGGAAGCAACCTCTTCCCACACTAAATTCCCACAAATTCTTGTATATCACTTTGGTTAATTCTTATTTTCTGTTCATTTGAAAAATGACAGATTTTGGCTTGGCGCCCAAAGTTTAGTGGTTAGAACATACACCACGGCTGGCGGGTCCAACCCAGCGCAGCCCTACTAAACAGTGACAACTACAACAAAAAAATAGCTGGGCATTGTGGTGGGTGCCTGCAGTCCCAGCTACTTGGGAGGCTGAGGCAAGAGAATCGCTTAAGCCTATTAGGTTGCTGTGAGCTGTGATGCCACAGCATTCTACTGAGGGTGACATAGTGAGACTGTGTCTCAAGAAAATTTTAATGATTTTAAAATATTCAATCACATTATAAATTCTCAGAAATGCCACTCAGAAATAGCTGGCATTCACATTACACAAGACATTTCTTTATGCACTCACGTTCAAAAGGAAGCATAGATAGAATTGTATAGAACAGATGTGTAATTTATAATAAAAAAATTATAAGAGTTTTACTTGAATTTATTCTGTTTGACAGTTTAAGTATCTGGAGTCCCCTAGAGATTATTAAGGACTCTGGCCAAGAAAGTTAGCAATGGGCTGGCGGGGCGGGAGGGCAGTGGGGGAGGTTTGGATGGAGTGGGTGGATAGACCTGGCCAAACAACTTTGCTTGGGAAGCTGAAGGGGCTGGGAGTGAAGGTTTCCTTGGAAGAACAATATCGTGAAGTCACAGGAAGTGCATCTGGCCCTGGGAAGGGGTGGGTGGGTGGAGAAAAAGCGGGGCAGAGGCATGAACAGCTGCTCTGGACAGACCCAGCTCCCTCTGGGTGCTACATTATGGTATACAGGCCATCCAGCTGCATTATCCTTAAATTTTCCTTCCCTGACACTAACCCTGACCCAGAAAGCAGAGTCTGATTTGGCAGCTGTAAACCAAGCCATGTAAGGTCATCACTGCTGCCCTGCTCAGATCCGCCCCCAAGACAGGCTGCCCCGCCCCCTGCCCCAGCCTCCCTGTGACTTTCCCACCCTCGGTCATAGGCGGCTGACTGAGTCCCGACTACTGAGAACCTCAGCCAGGGTCCGGGAGCCCCCCATCCAGGAGCCAAGAGTGCCCCTGTCCTGCTGGCCTAAGGATACACAGCTCTACTCTGATTGAATGCTCAATCCATCTTCATGGGACAATGAACCAGAAGACCACTCTAGTGCTCCTTGCACTAGCCGTCATCACTATCTTTGCCTTAGTCTGTGTTCTGCTAGTGGGCAGAGGTAGGGATGAGAATGATGAGCCTAGCCAGCCTCCCCATTGCCACTCTGCATATCCCAGTGCCCAGCCCTGGACACATCCTGGCCAGAGCCAGCTGTTTGCAGACCTGAGCCGAGAGGAGCTGACGGCTGTGATGAGCTTTCTGACTCGGCGGATTGGGTCAAGGCTAGTGGATGCAAAACAGGCTCAGCCCTCCAACAACTGTGTCTTCTCAGTAGAGCTGCAGCTGCCCCCAAAGGCTGCAGCCCTGGCCCACCTGGACAGGGGGAGCCCCCCACCGGCCCGGGAGGCACTGGCCATCATCTTCTTTGGTGGACAACCCCAGCCCAACGTGACTGAGCTGGTAGTGGGACCACTGCCTCACCCCTCCTATATGCGGGATGTGACCGTGGAGCGTTATGGAGGCCCCCTGCCCTATCACCGACGCCCGGTGCTGGCCCAAGAGTACATGGACATAGACCAGATGATCTTTGACAAAGAGCTGCCCCAGGCTGCTGGTCTCCTCCACCACTGTTGCTTCTACAAACAGCAAGGAAGGAACCTGGTGACAATGACCACAGCCCCTCGCGGTCTGCAGTCAGGGGACAGGGCCACCTGGTTCGGCCTCTACTACAACATCTCAGGGGCTGGGTTTTTCCTGCACCCCATAGGCTTGGAGCTGCTGGTAGACCACAAGGCCCTGGACCCCGCCCGCTGGACCATCCAGAAGGTGTTCTATCAAGGCCGCTACTATGAGAGCCTGTCCCAGCTGGAGGAGCAGTTTGAGGCCGGCCTGGTGAATGTGGTATTGATCCCAGACAATGGCACAGGTGGGGCCTGGTCCCTGAAGTCCCAGGTGCCACCACGTCAGGCTCCCCCTCTGCAGTTCCATCCCCAGGGCCCACGCTTCAGTGTCCAGGGGAGTCGAGTAAACTCTTCACTGTGGACTTTCTCCTTTGGTCTTGGAGCTTTTAGTGGCCCAAGGATTTTTGACGTTCGTTTCCAAGGAGAACGGCTGGCTTATGAGATCAGCCTCCAAGAAGCCTTGGCTGTCTATGGGGGCAATTCCCCAGCAGCAATGGTGACCCGTTATATGGATGGTAGTTTTGGCATGGGCAAGTACTCAACACCCCTGACCCGTGGGGTGGACTGCCCCTACCTGGCCACTTATGTGGACTGGCACTTCCTTTTGGAATCTCAGACCCCTAAGACAATGCGCGATGCCTTTTGTGTGTTTGAACACAACCAGGGCCTTCCCCTGCGGAGACACCACTCAGATTTCCAGTCTCACTATTTTGGGGGCCTTTCAGAGACAGTGCTAGTCATCAGATCTGTGTCCACCTTGCTGAACTATGACTACGTGTGGGACATGGTCTTCCACCCCAATGGGGCCATAGAAGTCAAATTCCATGCAACAGGCTACATCAGCTCAGCATTCCTCTTTGGTGCTGCCAATAAGTATGGGAACCAAGTAGGGGAGCACACGCTGGGCACAGTACACACGCACAGTGCCCACTACAAGATAGATCTGGATGTAGCAGGTAAGTCATCCCGGTGGGGCAAGGATTCTGGAAGAAAGGGCTAAAGAGTTGTCTCCATTTGCTTTGGAGTTTAAGAGTATGTAGATCATCTTGGAAAGAAAGCTTTGGGTTTTATACTTTCCCCTTACTAGATGGGAGAGAACTGGCTGCTGAGTTTTATTTGTATCCAACTCGCTGGCAGGGTGTGCAGGTGACTTCAACAGAATAGGCCAGTGCGGTCTATATAATAGAGTGAGTGTGGGAGGCCAAGGGGGATGTGGATTCCTTGAATTTAGGAGTTTGAGACCAGCCTGAGCAAGAGCAATACCCCGTCTCTACTAAAAGCAGCAAAATTAGCTGGGCTTTGGGGTGGGCACCTGTAATCTCTGGTACTTGGGAGGCTGAGGTAAGAGGATCTCTTGAGCCCAAGAATTTGAGGTTGCTGTGCGCTATGATGCATGGCATTCTACCCAGGGTAACAGAGTGAGACTCTGTTTCAAAAAAGAAAAAAGAGGGTGGAGCCTGTGGCTCAAAAGGGTAGGGTGCCGGAGGTGGCGGGTTCAAACCCAGCCCTGGCCAAAAAAAAAAAAAAAAAAAAAACCCTTGGGAAATGGCTACGCTCAGGCAGGAGGCAGGATCTGGGCCAACAGGGTCCCCATGGCCCTCCTCCCTCCCTTGTGCTTACATGGGCCCACTTCCAGGAGGCAGCCATTTGTTTCCCCTACATACATCTCTGTGTCTGCTTGCAGTGCTCGAAGATCTGCTTACATTTTGGAGAGTCCCTGGCATGTACATACTAGTCATGGGACACCCCAGGTGGCACACTTCCTTGGAAGATTTCCATCTCTCTCTGAGCACAACTGACATAACTGGGAGGGGTAGCATGGATCTTATGGCGCGTTGCAGGTAGTTCTAGAGTTGGTGGTTATAGAGAGAGCCAACACTACATGATGTCTTGGAGTCTTTGTCTCTGTCTTTTCACTTTCCTTCCCCACAAGGATCATCAGGTGCTTTCAGGTTCTTCCCCTGAAATCACTGAAAGCCCTCTCTGGGCCCCAGGGCCATCTCCCTGCAGGTGGGGGCCCTCTCTGTGCTGCCTCCAGTGTTGTTGTTCTCAGATCCAAGGGCCTCTCTGGGCCCAGAAGACCCTCCCACCCACCACAAACTGCCCCTCACTCAGCTCTCCCTCTCCCCAGTGCCTGCAAGAGCCCATCCACAGCACAGCATCAAAGCCCTTTCCTTCACAGTGCAGCTCTGACCTGCCTTGCACGGCTCTTCCCTACAGGTTGCCAGTGCCACAACCACATACTCCCTGCCCCTGGACACAGAATCCACATGTCCCTGACAAGCTCCTTTGTCCCTGCCTAGAATGCCCTTCCATGTCATCTCTTATGGGGACATGAAGGATGGTCCCCTTTTCCTGCCTGCACCTGCATTTCTGTGACCCAGAACCTGCCTGGGCCATGCCTCCCTCACATGCAAGCCAGCCAGTGACATAACTGTGTGGAACATCAGTTCACTCACTCCCACCCCAGGGGCAACCATGGTTCTCTCCACTCATGAATTATGAAGAGATGAATTAATGGAGATGAATGAAATCCGTGATGATGTATTTTAAGTTTTAGTTAAAATCCAACCGCTTTGGCTGAAGGATTGGGGATATATTGGGGAGAGAAAAGTACGGGGCACATTCAGTTCTGGGCTGCTCTTTGGATGCCACTCTGAGGCCAGATGCAGGCAGAGTCTGTAGGGGCCAGGTGGCTCTAAGACATGGGGGGGGGGGTCTTCCCCCATGAACAGGACTGAAGAACTGGGTCTGGGCCGAGGACATGGCCTTTGTTCCCACGGCTGTGCCCTGGAGCCCCAAGCACCAGATACAGAAGCTGCAGGTGACCCGGAAGCAGCTGCAGACTGAGGAGCAGGCAGCCTTCCCCCTGGGAGGGGCCACCCCTCGCTACCTGTACCTGGCCAGCAACCACAGTAACAAGTGGGGTCACCCACGGGGCTACCGCATCCAGATGCTCAGCTTTGCGGGGGAGCCAATGCCCCAGAACAGCTCTATGGAGAGAGCCCTCAGCTGGGGGAGGTGAGTAGGGGCTGTTAGAGAGGGAATGGAGGATGTGAGAATGGGATGGGAGTATGAAGGGATACCTGGAAACTGGCTGAAACTATATATGAGGCCAGGTAAGATCTGAGGAAAGATTTCCTCATTATCCAATGGCATCACCATAGGCTCAGTTCTGCCTTGGAGGGCTAAAGCTCCAGAGTGGCTTCTGGGAAATAAAAGGGGATAAACAGGAGGAAATGACCCCCAGGGTGGTGTCAGGTATTCTATAGCATGCAGTCATTGTGTGAGTGCCATGGGGAGCTGAGATCTGAGTGCTCAGCTCTCATCATAATCAGAGAACAGGACCAGGTTAGTGACCACGGAGGTCTGACTAGTGCCTCCGTAGGTACCAGCTGGCCGTGACCCAGCGGAAGGAGGAGGAGCCCAGTAGCAGCAGCATCTTCAACCAGAACGACCCTTGGGCCCCCACGGTGGACTTCACTGACTTCATCAACAATGAGACCATCATGGGAGAGGTCAGAGGACAATGGAAGGGCCCAGGAATGGGCAGACACTAGGATGAGCCTCCCCTCTCTGGGGAGGGTTCTTGAAAACCATTCCATCTCCTCAGGGGTAGAGCTAACTCCTTCCCCCTGCACTTTAGTGGACCTGATCATTACCCTTTGAAGGAATCCCCTGAGCTGGGTGTCCCTTATGCAGACACTGGGTGAGGACTTGGCCTGTGCTCCCAATTCCAGCTTCCTGGATTGAGTCCTTTCTGGGCTACAGAACTCAAGGAGGGATGGATGTTACCAGGGAAAATCACATCTCCTTAATCTATAGTTGCTCCCATTCTTGACGTGAGCAGTAAAGGATGCATTTCTCAGTGTTGGCCTGTTTCTGCCTCCCAAACCCTGATTTTCCCTTCTCCATCCTTCTTCCCTCAGTTATAGGGAAGTTCTGGCAAGTCAGGGGGAGAGAATTTGGTATAGTCTGTGGGTGACATTCCCTGTGGGTGAGTAAGGAAGAGATGATGTGATGGGAAATGTCCAAGATGGAGGGGGTAGGGCAAGAACAGGGAGGCAAGTAGTGTTCCCAGTATGAAATGGACTATTTATGCTTTGACTTCTGGGCCAGTAGGAAAAATATGTGTAAAGCCTCCAGATCCTTGGGCTGGTGAGATGAATCATTACCTCCAGGGCCATGATGGGAAGCAGGTCATGTCCTCAGCAAAGACAGACCTCATGATCCTCTTTCTTCTCCCCTGCTAGGACTTGGTGGCATGGGTAACAGCTGGATTTCTGCACATCCCACATGCAGAGGACATTCCCAACACAGTGACTGTGGGCAACGGTGTGGGCTTCTTCCTCCGACCCTACAACTTCTTTGACGAGGACCCCTCCTTCTACTCTGCTGACTCCATCTACTTCCGACCGGACCAGGATGCTGGGGCCTGTGAGGTCAACCCCCTGGCTTGCCTACCCCAGACTGCTGCCTGTGCCCCCGACCTCCCTGCCTTCTCCCATGGGGGCTTCTCTCACAGCTAGGTGGTCCCTGGGCTGGAGAATCTGCCCAAGGACTCCAGGGTAGGCTGAGGGTGTGGGAGCAACTGGGCACTAAATGGGCAGCCTGGTTCCCTCTTCTCCTTCCTTCCACCCCTGCTGTCTGTCCATCTCCCAGTCCCCCAAGGTCCCCTCTCTTCCAGTGCCCTCTCCCCCTTGTACCCTCCTTGGAACCAGGAACATCCAGAGCCTGTGATGCCTTATACTGGGAAGCTCAGTTTGTTGCTGGGCCCCATCCCAGAGAGGCAAGGATGGCCTAGTCAGGAGCCTAGGGTGATGGCCAGGATTTCCCCTAGATTGTTCTTTCATTTTTATTTTCTGGTTTTCCAGAATTTTTTAGGCCATTTCTGACACAGGGATTATAATCCCTCGAGAGCCCAAGGCAGGGCCACCAGTCCTGCACATCCATAGTGAGCAGGAAAGAACTCTTTTGCATACATTCCCACTCATCCAAGTCCTTTCTTCTCTCCATCGTCTCCTCCTAGCTACAGCCTCCTCCTTCCCTTCCTGTCTACCCTTCCATCCTGGGATATCTCTCCTGTGCTGAAGGGATGTCCCTCTGTCCCAGCCCCTGGTGCTCCCACTGCCCTCAGCTCTCGCCTTCAGTCTCCTCTCCTGCCCCCAGGCCAGCCAATTGTAGGATACAACACGGTATGTCCTCTTGCATCTGTCACATATTGGGACTAGGAGTTGCCAGCAGGCCTGTTCTAGGGCAGGGTATGTTTCTGAGCAGTCCCCTACCTGTATGCATCTGCCTACCTTGGGCTTTCTGGAGGGAAATGCACATTGTGACAGCAGCTGCTCAAGTGAGCATTTCAGGTGGTTTTGTGGGTGCAATCCCAGTGAAGATGTGTCATTTTGTACTAAGGCTGCGTGTAACCACTGGCCTTATTCTGCAACAGCTAATTTGGGAAGCTGGAGTAGGAACCAGGATGGGTGGTCCAATCATGTGCGGACATGCAAATTAGCCGGGGCTTGGCCTGGTGGGGCGGTGCCTGGCCTGGAGAGGGAGCCTGTTCCAGTATCTCTCATCACTGCTTCCCCTCCTGGGCTCTGCCTGGATTAAGCATGGTTCCAAAGAAATAGCAAGAGATTGGAAACAACAGGAACCTACTTCCATTAAAGACTAGGTGAATCAATTACGATACACTTTACATTGCAATTTCTGTTCAACTAAAAAATAATGGTATGTCTTTATATGCTAATATGGAATAATCTTCAAGTGAAAAGGGCAAGGTACAGAAATGGGATGGTGCAGTTCCATTTGTGTTTTAGAAAGGAGGAGAATATATAGATCACCCTGCTTATATATGCATATTCAGAAAAATAGGTGATACTGATTACCTCTGGGAGGAGAACTGGGAGTTTGGGGACAGGAGAGGGAGGGGACTTAGCACCGTATACCTTTTGTACATTTTGAATTGTGGACTATGTGACCATATGACCAAAATAAATAAGAAATGGGCCAAAACAGAAAGTGACTTTTTTTTACTGGCATGTTTTCTCAGAAGAGGTGGGGGGGAGAGGGCATGTAAAGTCGGTTAAGGGATAGGATCAGGAATGACATTTTCTCAAGTGGTGGAGACCCAGAGAAGTGGATGTGGCCCTTAGTAACTCCTTTTGCCAGCTCTAGCTTGTGTATCTCTGTGGAAATGTTATGCCTCAGCCAGTCCCTCTCTTCTCCTTCTCCTGCCCACCAAGCCATCTCTCTTAGAAGAGAGGGCAATGGAGTAGGGTGACTTCAGCTTGCTGGAAGCCCAGGCCCAGGCAGGAGGTAAAGTACAGGAAACAGAGTTTGGATGTTGCTCAGCTTCTGACCAGAGAGAGATCACATTCTGGGAGATACAGCACCATGGAAGCTTCGACTGCCTTCTGTCTGTTCTGCCCCAAGCTCAGGTTCTGCTGTGGGTCAAGGAATGGAACAGTGGACAGGGAGGAGTCACTGGGCTAAAGGGCAGCAACTAGGTTCCTGTTGGTAGAAAGAAAACCTGCAGTAGGGAGCAGGGCCAGCCATTGGCTAATATGGCTAGAGTAGGAGCAAGAATGAAAGTGGATAAGGAGAGATGGAGGAGAAAATGCGATGTAGTGGACCGTTGGGGCCCTGATGCTGACTTCATGTTTCCTCTTCCTTTGACTTGAAGAACTAAACTTCTTCTTAACTAATTATATTAGTTAGTTAATTAATATTTGGAAACAGAGTCCCATTCTGTCACTGAGGCTGGAGTGCAGTAGTGGTGCAATCCGCTCACCACAGCCTCAAATTCCTGGGCTCAAGTGATCTTCCTGCCTCAGCCTCCCAAGTAGCTGGGACTACAGTTGTACAACACTAAGCTTGGCTGATTTATTTTATTTTATTTTATTTTTGAGATAGAGTCTCACTGTGTTGCCCTCGGTAGAGTATTGTGGCATCACAGCTCACAGCAACCTCAAACTCTTGGGCTCAAGTGATTCTCTTGCCTCATTCTCCCAAGTAGGTGGGACTACAGGAGCCCACCACAATGCCTGGCTATTTTTTGTTGCAGTTGTCACTGTTGGTTAGCTGGCCTGGGCTGGGTTTGAGCCAGCCAACTTCAGTGTATGTGGTTGACACTGTAACCACTGTGCTAAAGGTGCCAAGCCAGCTTGACTAATTTTTTAAGGTTTTGTAGAAACAGGGTCTCACTATGATGCCCAGGCTGGGGTGCAGTGGCCATTCACAGGCATGGGCACAGCCCACTACAGGCTCAAACTCCTGGGCTCAAGTAATGCTCTTGCCTCAGCCTCATGAGTAGCTGAGACTCTAGGTGTGCACTACTGCACCTGGCTTACTCCCATAGTTTTGTTCCCACCTCCTTATGGCTCCTCTTATACTACTTGCCCCATGGCCAGTGCTGAGGGGCAGGGAAGAACACCCTACATCTACTGTCTGGCTCACTTGAATTTTATTACTTTGAAACCCATGTCCAGACCAAATAGTGTGAATACTTGTAGGTAGTGAGTGTTGCATTCTTACAAGCTTTTATATGAAAATGTGACTAATTGTGTCTCTCTAGTCTTCCCACGCGGCTGACACCACCTGCCCAAGCCCCAAATGAGTTGAGGCACAATGGTCATCCAGATCATTAGACCATCAGCCCAGCTCAGGCAGAAAGTCTGCAAGATGGACCTCTAGCCCCCTACCCTGATCCGATCTTATCCTTAGACCGCCACTGACATTGTCTGGAATCTTGGCCTCAAACTTGTCTAGGAGTGATTAATGAGTGAGGATGTCAGGTTCTGAAGGCACCACTGCCTCCCAGGCTGAACTCTTCAGGACCTGGGGCCCATTGTCCTGAGAAAGAGGAGCTAAAGAAGGGGTGCCTGAGGCTGGAGTCAGAGGACATTCCTGAGACTTCCCCAGGAATGTAAACAGGGGACCTCCCTGTAAGGAACACAAGCTGTGCCCATCTGCCTCTGCTCTGGCAGCCCCTGGAAAAGGCTCCAACTCCGAGTGCAAGAGGATTCCTTTACACGGTCAACAAGGATTTATTGAGGGCCTTCTAAACGCCAGGCACTCTTCAGAGAACTGGAATACACTAGTGAATAAGAGACCCAAAATCGGGCGACATCTGTGGCTCAAAGGAGTAGGGCGCTGGCCCCATATACTAGAGGTGGTGGGTTCAAACCCATCCCTGGCCAAAAACTGCAAAAAAAAAAAAGAGAGAGAGAGAGAGACAAAAAATCTACCCTCAGGGGCAAGGAGGCCAGCAAAGGCCCAGTTATAGACAAGGAGGGAAGAGGACAACAGCAGGGACTCCTGTCCCAGACTCAGAGGCTTGGGAAGGCCTCCTGTGTGATGTGATGTATACACCAATGATGGCAGAGGAGAAGTTGGCCTGGAAGGAGCCAAGAGAGTGGAGATAATGTTGTAGGCAGTGGGAACAGCATGTTCAAAGGCCAGGTAGTAAAAGGATGGCTTCATCCAAGTACCCAAGTTCATTGAAAGATACATGAGTGTGAGTGGAGCCTGAGAGGCAAGTGGGGACAGGTCCTAGCAAGCCACACCACCCTAAAGAAACTGGGGAGCCATAGAAGGATTTTAAGCAGAGGAGTGACAGGGTCAGATTTGCCTTTTAGTACATATCTGACCCACCTACAAAGAATAGAGTAAATGGGTTGGGGGCAGGGAAGGTGCTGGCCACAGGGAGGTAGGTCAAATGGCTGGACTGCCATTAGGGTCATGAGGACAGTGGCCTGAGTGCATTACAAGGCCCTATAGAAGATGTGGCCCAAGGAGGCCCTGTTTGCAGATCCCAGATCAGAAGCCCAGATCAGCTGTCTGCTGAGGTTGGTGGAAAATGAGGAAAGATCCCTGGCCACTGGCTGATCTTCACCCCCTATGCAGGCCATGACACCCTGAATGGATGGTCATTACATAACATTCATCCCGCACTTGGATCCCGTGGTTGAGTCAGTTGCTGATCAACCTAAGTTCCCACCCAGCAATCACTTCTACCTGTAGCTAGTGTGAGTTTGTGGTCATTGGTTAGATCATCCTTGGGCACTTTACACAAGGCATAGTGGGTTTGGAAAACATGTTCAATAGGTGAAGCCTTAAAAGGGGTGTGGGGCTAGTGCTCTCCAGGCAGCTTCTTGAACTGGGTTTGGTGATAAGGATGAGCTCATTCATTTCACAGATAACTAGCTCTGTGCCCTCACCCACCTGGTTGATAGGAAATTCAATTACAGACATGTTTTGGGAGGTGTTCGTTTTAGGGGTTGGTAAGAGTCTGGATCCTGGGACTTTGGGGGATATTAGCATACTTGAATTGGCTGAGATCACGGTTGTCATGCACACTTTCTGCTCAAGCTGGTGATAGAGGTGGCCCCTGGCCAGTAGGCTGTCACTTCCACAAGGCCCTGAGTGGGAGAGTGGGCTCTAGGCCCTCTACCACTCAACATGTGTGCCAGTGTGCACACCCACCAACACATACACACACACACATATACACACACTGCTCCTACTTGTTAGTCCCACAGAAGTCCTCAAAGACCTCCCTTCCTATGTTAGGGAAGCTCTCAGGAGCCTTTCTGCCTGCTAGGTTGGCACGCTCACTTCTTCCTATTGTGGAAATTGCAAGGAGTTTCAGCTAGATCCGGGTGCTCCTGACACAAAGATCCAGTTATTGAGTCAACGAGAATTTCAAAGGAAGAAAGGAATGTTTAGTAGGATAGACTTCTTATTGGAAGAATAGAAGCAGCTTCCTCAAATCTGTCTCCCCAACTAAGGAAACCATGGGCTTTTTTTCTGAGACAGAGTCTCACTTTGTCACCGTTGGTAGAGTGCTGTGGCATCATAGCTCACAGCAACCTCCAGCTCTTGGGCTTAGGCCATTCTCTTGCCTCAGCCTCCTGAGTAGCTGGGACTACAGGTGTCCACCACAATGCCCAGTTATTTTTTGTTGCAGTTTGGTGGGGACCAGGCTTGAACCCACCACCCTTGTTATATGGGGCCAACTCACTGAGCCCACAGGCACCTCCCTGACCTGGTCTGATTACTCAGCTGAGCTAGAACGTTCAACCAGGCACAGCAGTAACCCAAAGCAAAAGTGAGTGGACACTGAAAATGGAATTAAAGTGGCACAGGCAGTGAGGATGGAAAGCAAAAGTAACCTACACAAGTTTCAGGGTAACAAGGAGAGATTTTATTTAGGAAGAACAAAGGGAAAGTAGCGCTTTCAAAGAGTTGGAAGTGGGTCCCTCTCATGAAGGAGAGAAGGTGAGAGAGAGGAAGACAAAAAGGCCTGCAGGGGTATTAAATACCCCCTTCATTTGAAATTGGTGCGCCTCCAGGTGGTATTGCCTTTTTCTATTGGTCATTGATGGTCTCTTTCTATTGGTCATTGGTTACCTAGGTCACTTCGTACCCACATCTGTTTTCTTCTTTTTAATTTTTCAATATTTTATTAGGCAAATTTTTAAACATACAGTACAGCTGAGAGACTTATACAATGATCAGCCATACACCCACCACATACATTTCATAATTTTTTCCCTCTTCTTCACATGAATGAACTTTATGGGCAGGGAGGCCCCAAGTTTTGTGCCCCTCATCACAATGAACCCAGATTCCTGTTTGGTGTGTTATAAACAGAGAAGCCATTTTCAGGCCCCCTGCAGTGAGCACGGGGAAGGGGGGCACCCACATTCTTATGGGCCCTGCATACTTCCTGGTTCAGTAGGCCAGGGTTTCCTCCCCCCACCACCTGAAGCTCCTTTTGTAGTGTCCCTTCTCACTATACTGGGTAACAGAGAGAGACCCTGTCTCAAACAAACAATGAAAAGGTCAACTCACATATGTCTTCCTAGACATGTCCAGCTTGCAGAGGATTGTGCCTAGGTGGTGAGGGAAGGAGGTCTCCTCTCTGGAACCCTAGTCTCTCCTGGTTCTTCTCAGCTCATGACTGCTGAGATGAAAGTAGCTTCCCACACATCTGTCACCTGGCAGAGAAGCCACCCAGCCATCGGTTGTGAGGGATGGATGCAGCTTCACTCTCCTCCTTGGCAACATTTTGGAGGCAGGTTTCCTGGGTGATAGGGTTGTGGGCTGCCAGCCCACCTGACATCTGTCATTCAGTTCTACAGGAGGGAACACCCTGTACCCTGTGTTCCCATCCCCCACAGCAACACACCAGTCAGCTTCCTGCTTGCTATACACCCCAAACCCACCCTTCCGTGTCTTTAGGGTGCAGGTGTCCAGCATGTCCCCATGCCCCCAGCTCCTCTTAGAGGCTTTGCCTCCTCACCATGACTCTCAAGCTTCCCTTGGGCTGCTGGTCGGTTCTGGTTGGTGGAGGGGGCAAGAGACAGCAGTGGGGAGCAGAGCCTGGAGGGCCACAGAAATGGGAGGAGGAGAGAATCCAGCTACAGAGGTGCTGCCTGGTGGGTTTTGCTGGCCAACCTATAGCTGGGAGAAAGGTCCCCTCTGGAGGGTAGACAAAGGAGAGTCCCAGGACACATCTCTTCCTCTGGCCTTCCCCAGCTGGATCTGGCCTCCTTCCTCTGGCCTTCCCCACCCTCCAGCCACCTGATTCCCCAACTCTGACCCTGAGTGTGCTGTTTGCTTTGGAACAGGCCACTTAAAGTCCAGGTTCTACATCTGCCCCACCCCCTGAACCTGGCCTGACCCCTGGCCCAGCTCCACCCCCAACCCTCTGGCCGTGGTCACTTCTCTTTTACCTTGTCCATGTTGCCTCTTGCCTGGCAGTACCACCCCGAGACAAGATCCTCCAGAGCCCAAGAGAGGCATCCTGTGCCCAGGTCCTGTCTATCTGTTGACTTTCTGCCTTCAAGATCCAGAGCCTGAAGACAGCCCAGGAGCTTCAGCTATGGCTGCCTTCATTATATTGTCCCTATTTAGTCTCCTGGTGACAGGCATGGGTGAAGGTGGAACTGTGAGTGATAAAGGGAATGAGAGGGAATGTAGCCTGTGTCCCCAGTGCCCCTGCGTATTCCACAGGGCCCAGCCCTGGACACATCCTGGCCAGAGCCAGCTATTTGCAGACCTGAGCCGAGAGGAGCTGACAGCTGTGATGAGCTTTCTGATCCAGCAGCTCGGGCCAGAGCTGGTGGATGCAGCCCAGGCCCAGCCCTCGGACAATTGTGTCTTCTCAGTGGAGCTGCAGCTGCCCCCAAAGGCTGCAGCCCTGGCCTACCTGGACAGGGGGAGCCCCCCACCGGCCCGGGAGGCACTGGCCATCATCTTCTTTGGTGGACAACCCCAGCCCAACGTGACTGAGCTGGTAGTGGGACCACTGCCTCACCCCTCCTATATGCGGGATGTGACCGTGGAGCGTCATGGAGGCCCCCTGCCCTATCACCGACGCCCTGTGCTGGCCCAAGAGTATATGGACATAGACCAGATGATCTTCGACAAAGAGCTGCCCCAGGCTGCTGGTCTCCTCCACCACTGTTGCTTCTACAAACCGCAAGGAAGGAACCTGGTGACAATGAACACAGCCCCCCGTGGTCTGCAATCGGGAGACCGGGCCACCTGGTTTGGCCTCTACTACAACATCTCAGGGGCTGGGTTTTTCCTGCACCCCATAGGCTTGGAGCTGCTGGTAGACCACAAGGCCCTGGACCCCGCCCGCTGGACCATCCAGAAGGTGTTCTATCAAGGCCGCTACTATGAGAGCCTGTCCCAGCTGGAGGAGCAGTTTGAGGCCGGCCTGGTGAATGTGGTATTGATCCCAGACAATGGCACAGGTGGGGCCTGGTCCCTGAAGTCCCAGGTGCCACCACGTCAGGCTCCCCCTCTGCAGTTCCATCCCCAGGGCCCACGCTTCAGTGTCCAGGGGAGTCGAGTAAACTCTTCACTGTGGACTTTCTCCTTTGGTCTTGGAGCTTTTAGTGGCCCAAGGATTTTTGACGTTCGTTTCCAAGGAGAACGGCTGGCTTATGAGATCAGCCTCCAAGAAGCCTTGGCCGTCTATGGGGGCAATTCCCCTTCTTCTCTGCGAAGCCAGTACACAGATGGTGGCTTTGGCTTGGGCCACTTCTCTACACCCCTGACCCGTGGGGTGGACTGCCCCTACCTGGCCACTTATGTGGACTGGCACTTCCTTTTTGAGTCCCAGACCCCCAAGACAATTCGTGATGCCTTTTGTGTGTTTGAACACAACCAGGGCCTTCCCCTGCGGAGACATCACTCAGATTTCCAGTCTCACTATTTTGGGGGCCTTTCAGAGACAGTGCTAGTCGTCAGATCTGTGTCCACTATGCTCAACTATGACTATGTGTGGGACATGGTCTTCCACCCCAATGGGGCCATAGAAGTCAAATTCCACGCAACAGGCTATATCAGCTCAGCGTTCCTCTTTGGTGCTGCCAGGAGGTACGGGAACCAAGTAGGGGAGCACACGCTGGGCACGGTACACACGCACAGTGCCCACTTCAAGGTTGATCTGGACGTAGCAGGTAAGACATCCTAGTGGGGGCAAGTGTCCCAGTTTCCATGCCTAGCCTTATAAATTTTCTTTGAAATCTTTTTTTTTTTT